TTTTATTCAAATTTTCTTTAAGCTTAATGATACGCCCTCAACCGATAATTCCCGACTAATGTGCCGACTTATTTTTCTACACTAACCTCTCAACCGATAATGCCTGACTAATGTGCTAGCATACTAGACAAATACGAAATATCCTACAGCACTAGCGAATCGCTTTTTAAGCGAGAACATCAAGAGCTCAGAGAAGATTATTTCATAAAACTGTAAGCTCAAAACAATCAAACCATATAAACCATGCATGTTGGACAAAGAAAGCCATGGAATCTAATAAATGAAAAGCTTATAATCTACCACTTTAAAGAACTAAAATCCTCATCATCATTAGGCGGAAATAAAACACAAGCTCTCTAATTCGAATGAATAAAACACAAGAAATCCAAATCATGCAATGCATTGGTAGATAAAATTATCCCATTAAACTATACAAATACCAGAGCTTGATCAACTAACCTGCTCAAGCACAGCCTCGGTAATCAAATCACCAGCAACCTCCTTCGATTCAGAAATCACGGATAATTCATCCACGACCCATTTCCTTCCAATAGGATTCGGAATCAACACGGCAAACCTCTGCAAATCTCTCACCTCCTTTTGCATCCCTTTCGCCGCCTTCTTCTTTGCCACCGCGAAAATCACCTGATCCATGGCTTCATCATTCATATAAACTTCAAAAGTAATCTCATCCTTACAGGGAACCACTAAATTAAACAATCTCGATATCAGATCATGCATACTCTTTAACTCCATCGTCGCCAGCAATCCCTGGCAGTGTCTTCGTCCACTCGCGTAGAATTTGAACACGGTTTACCCTTCTTTTAACAATAAGGGGGAGTCATCCCCTTCTCCAACACCCAGAATACTGAAATTTTTCTCAAAGATCGAACCTTTCGTAGCAAACTTCGCTGCCCATGCCAGAGCAAGATTCTCGTTTTCACGTTTACCGGATAAGTAGTTAATGAGAAAAACAATCAAGAAAGACCCACAGACAATCTCCACCGTAAACGACTTCTTCGAAACCGTCGCGTCTTGGGAATTTGAGGTCGTTTTCGGATCTGAGTCATTGGGGGTGGCATTTTCGGTATCTTTTGCAGGTTCGGATGACGGTTGTTCGACGGTCAATCCCTCGAATTCGTCCTCATCCCAGTACTCAAAAGATGTAGTGGATGCCTTCTGGATATCCGATTGGGACGGAGGATCCGAAGCGGGAATGGGGTTGGGATCAGGATGGGTTTGGGTTTCAAGATCCAGAAGGGGATGTGAATCGGACTTAGTTACAGGAGGCGATCGGATCGAGTGGTGGTCGAAGATTTCTTCCTCAACAGTTTCATCATCTTCGGCGTCAAATCCTTCGAAATGGGAATCGGCAAGGACGTGAGAGAAAGAGAGATGGGTTATCAAAAGAGAGAGAAGAATGAAATGGAAGAGATAAAAGTTCATTTTTGGAGTCTGGGATTTTTCTTGTGCTGTTTTTGGCATTCGATTCGTTACTTTAAGAGGGAAAGGAAAAGGGTTTTGATAGCGGCTATGGATTTGAGCCCGAGCCCGAGCCCGAGCCCGACGATGTATTAGGAGACGGCTGAAGTGAAGGAGAGAAATGGAGATAGAGTCGGATCTTTAGTTCTCCGCCCACTCTACACCTCAACGTTGTACGATCATTGCATTTGGAGAGTGCTACTTAATACCACACAAATCTCATTTTAGTTTCTAATCTTTAATACATCCCTTGACTCAATGCTATAATGATTATTTTGGTTGTAAGAAACATCTCATTAGATTTTATATAATAGGTAAAACATTATTTTTTATGTTTGATTAAATAATTATTTTGATTATCATTAAATATTATTGTCTTTAACGTTTTATTTTATGATATAAATGTATTTCTGTTAATAAAAACGGTTAAAATAACTATTCAATTAAAGTTAAGGTTTTTTTACCCTAAAATGAAATATTAAAAATCAAAATACTCTCATAAAATGACTATTTTGTGCATCCTTAATCGTTGCCAAAACGACATCATTTTGTCCACATCATCCAATGATAAAAAGATTTATCTATGTTATCATGTCGTTAAAATTTAACGGCTCAATGACATAATTAAAGTTAAAATAAAGTTCAATATTATAATTAGAAAAATTATTCCCGCCCTTTTCGCTCTGTTAAAGAAGCCGTCGCCGTCTTCGGCGAGCGGCTTCTTGTCAGAGAGATATACACCCCAAAGCCTTACACTTACAACCGCCCTCCAACCCAAGAGATCACTTGGTTTTTACCCATTACTCCTCTAAGCCGTAAAGAAGATGATCGAAAAGATAATACTTATCACCAAGAGGTTGTCGATAGCTTAAAGAAGCTCAAGACCGAGCTGGAGGAAACAAAGGCGGAGCTGAATTTGCTGAAGGAAAGAGAATCCGAAACCGAGATTGCGTTGGCTTCATTGAACGCTGAACTCCATGAAAACATTTCTAAGCTGGCTTTAGCTGAGGCGATGGCTAAAAAATCGGGGGAGACGACGCCGACGCCGTGGACGGCGAGTATGGAGATGGAGAAGGGAGAAGGTACAGCGAGAGAGGAAGAGAGGAGGGAGTTGATGAAACAAATGGAGAAGAATCCATCGTTGTCTCAGATACTGAGTATAGTTGAGAAAGAAGGGTGTTTTTGAGGGAAAAGAGAGAGGAAGTTGATGATGAAGAAGAAGCACATTGTTCCTCTGGTTGGTGATTGGATTTTCAAGAGGAAAGGGTCGCCGACTACTCTTCATAATTCTCTTTATGCCTCTTGAAAATGTATTTTTAATCAGGGTAAATTACATTTTGGTCGTCCAACTATTTTTTAAGATCATATTTAATGATACGTTTTAATTTCATTTTGGTCGTCAATGTTAAAAAGTTAATGATAATGTTGACGAGTCATTATAAGATAATAGTGCGTCAGCATTGCAAAAATATATATATCTTGTCAGTAGTTCTATTTATTTTTCAACGCAATTGAACAAAATGAAACCAAAACATAAAATTAGATATGATTTTAAAGAAAACAATAGTTGAGTGACCAAAATAGAATCACACAAATACTTGGGTGACCAAATACCTAATTTATCCTTTAATTATTTTTTTTCAAATCTTGATTGGTCTTAAAGTGTTTGTTTTAGTTTGTTATTTTCTGTTTTTTATTTAATTATAAAAGTAAAAGTTATGGGAGTTAATGTGTAAATGTGATACATTTTTTTTGGGGTATTTTGTGTTTGTGCAATGTAATTCAAGAAGTTCACCATGTTTCATTGTTTGATCAAAAGTATGTCATGTGGAGTGATGGTAAAATAACATGTTCAGAAGATGTTTGGTGAAGTGAAATATGCATGCCCTAATATGCTATAGATCTTGTTGAATTTAAGCATACTATGTCATAAAAGAGGTCCCAACAATCCCTTACGGCGGTTCGAGGTACTTCCCCGAGTGAGCACGTGCCTTGGCAAACAAACCCTCTATTCGAGTTGTTGGTAAAAGCAAGATACCAAGTGGCCGAAGCCCAAACTCCACCGTTGAAAATTATTTTTATTTTTAAGGTATATTGTTAAAATTATACAACATTTTTTTCAACACTTTACCCTTTAAAAGTTTTAAATTTTGGTAAAATGATTATTGTTTAATAAAAAATATTAATTACCTAATGATCGATGTTGGTATAATATTTTCATATATAATATATTATTTATATGGCACATATCATGTCACTGAAATTGATGACATGACATATGTTACATTATTTTTATGATGACATGATATATATGTAATATACCTAATATTATAACGTGACACATATAATATCTTCCAAGATAATGATACTAAAAATATCATTTATTTAAGATGATAATATAATATGTATCATATCACTTAAGGTGGTGATATGACATATATCACGTCATTTAAGATAATTATATAACATGTGTTACATCACTTAAAATGATTACATAATATGTCATACGTTATAATTAAGTACGATGAGAATGCCATTTTAATGAATTAATTTATAAATAAAAATATTAGGAGTAATTTATTTTAAAAGAAAAGATTTAAAATGGTTATTCTAATAAATGTTATGAATAATTTGATATTATATTTAATTTTAGGATAGAATACATAAAATGTCCATGACTATAGAATATTGTTTAGTTAAGTATTTGATTATTAAAAGTTATAAAATGACTATTTTGTTGAGTCTCTTGATTATTAAAAGTTACAAAATAATCACTTGACTATTCATTATGTTTCAAATTAGTCATTTTACGTTAAAAAATTAACGGTAATTTGAGTTGGATATTAATTTACGGACTAATATATGATAAAATATGATATCATAATCTCAAATGACTATCATATCTCAGTCATCATGTTAATATCCAGCTCGGACGATCATTAATTTCTTAATTGAAAAAAATTAGTTTAAAACATAATGAACAATCGAGTGATTATTTTGTAAATTTGTATAGTAAAAAAACTCAATAAAATAACTCACTATAATCAATATACTATTTTATAATTTTTAATAATTAAAAAATTTAATAAAAAAATATTTTATAATAGAAGTATCATTCGTGTACTTCATAAAGACCTAGATGCTTAGTACCTAGCTCACGGCTTTTGTCGGTTTGCGCTTCGGGGATTTCTGCCACAATCACCATTCACCACATAAATACATACGCCGACACCTGGGCGTAAACTGGAAAATAAAATTCCATATAGGAATTTGATAATTTTTGAAGTTTTAGCAAGCTGAAGAGTTATTAATCTCAAATCTATTGATTTTTAGTATTTCAGTTCCATTATTCCAAATCAAAATCAAATTTGATTTGGAGATGCAATCCGTAGTTATTAACCCTACATATTGCTGCAAGCCCCATCAATCCCCAGAACCCTCCTCTTCTCGTCCTATAAGCTCCAAGGTTCATTTATCTCTATTTCGTTTATTTTCTGAAACTTTAGTTCTATTTTTGCGTATTTTTAATGTTAGTTTCTGATTTTCCCAGCCCTCAAGCTTCTTTGGCGTCCACTTCTTGCTCGCGAAAGGGCGTAATCCTGCGCGGCGCTGCTCATGGCGTAGGCAAGGTCGGTTTTGTTCGTAACGATTTGATTGTTTTAATTTTAGGTTATTTTTGGAATCTGCTGTTTTTTTTTATTTGCTTAGAGAAAATTATTTCAAACAATTGCTTGAATGTTGAAATTTTAGCTCTCTGCACCTATTTAGGATTGTTGGAGCTGGCTCTTATTAATTTTCAATTTTTTATATAAAAAATATACAATTAATTGCGAATTGCTTTATGTTCTTCCTCCTCCGAATTTCTGGGATTGATTGTGTTAAGAAACCTGAGTATAAAAAATATGTAGTTTGTCACCATATTCCAGATGCGATAAGTTTCTATCATGTTCATGGCATGCTTTTTGAATAATTAAACACTTTTTATTTAGATACTTTAAATATTCTTCCAATTTCCATTTGAATTGTTGAATCTCTTAACATGTTCTAAATCTTAAAAACTCACTTTTTTTTGAGTTCATGCAGTTGTAAAGGCTGTGGCAACTCCTGATCCAGCCTTGGAGTTGCCCTTAACAGACGAGAACGTTGAGAGTGTTTTGGATGAAGTTCGACCATATCTGATTGCTGATGGGGGGAATGTGGCATTGCACGAGATTGATGGTAATGTTGTGCGGTTGAAGCTCCAAGGAGCATGTGGCTCTTGCCCAAGTTCTGTTGTGACAATGAAGATGGGTATTGAAAAACGTTTAATGGAAAAGATACCTGAAATTGTTGCTGTGGAACCAATAACCGATGAAGAAACTGGCCTTGAGCTGAATGAAGAAAACATTGAGATGGTAATTTCATTACAACCTTATTAGCTCTTAAAACTTATGTTGTTCTCTTTCCATCACTACCATATAAAGAGAGCTGTTTTTCTCTCTCTCTTTATATTCCAGTAACTAGGGGAAAAATTGCAGTAATGAAAAGAAAAGAGACATGCAAACAAGTTTCTAACTGCCAATTTTTATGGTGCAAAGGAAAGTATGATTAAGAAACTTGAGCTAAAATTGCAGTAATGATTTGACATCCCATGCAAACTGTATTTGAGTTCATCCAATAAGTTTCCAAATATGAAAAATGTAATTTTTTTCTACCGTATTACATCATTTTAAATCCAACCATCATATTAAAGCATCTCTGTAGATTAATTAATTGAACTATGTAAACCAAGTCAATAGCCTGTTTTCTAATTCCAACTTCTTTCTGGGGTTTTCCTTTAGATTATTTACCCTGGAATTGTTGGTCATCAGAAAATTCAAAGTAGTCTGAATTTCTATTTTCTGGCTACCCTTTGAAGGCTACTTTCTCAAAGTTTAACACCTCTCCTGAGTACTGCTTACATTGGGCATATGACATGTAGTTTTATCTAAATGAGTGTAACTGGGTCCGTTTATGGTTTATTTAGTGGTCAACTTATGTTTCTTTATTAATCAAGTCTTGGCTAGCTAGCCTTTGTTTCTTTTCCAAAACCAAATTCGATGATTGGATATTTGGATGCATATAAAGAGTTGGAAGATTAGTCTAGCTCTTTGCATATTAAGGGCTATGGATTTAGGATGATTGTACGAAAGCATTTCTGTAATGTTGTTTTAGCGCTATGAAATGGTTTTTGCTGATCAAAACCTCAAGTACATCAATGAAAATGGATATATCTGAGGATGATATAAAATTAGGACCATGATGGTTTTGCCGTCGTGTATCGACATAGTAACACAGTAGAGATTATGTTCCCTTGTTATTTAGTTTTCTGATCCATTCAATTTATTTTAAATACCTGGTCAATGTATGACATTATTCTGATGGTTGATTGATCTGGTTTTGCATTCTATTTACAACCATTTGGTACTTTTTCCATTAACTGTTTGGTGTATTCACTATGCATCCCCCAGTTTGTTAGTTTCATCCTTGGTATTAAATACTCGTGTTAAATATTGTGCATCGCATATCTTGGCATGCGCTTGAAGTAATTATGAATTTACATGTCATGTCAGGTACTTGAAGAGATTAGGCCCTACCTAGTCGGGGCAGCGGGTGGATCTCTTGAACTAGTTGCCATCGAGGAGCCAATAGTGAAAGTTCGAATCACGGGTCCTGCCGCGGGGGTGATGACAGTGAGAGTGGCTGTTACACAAAAATTGCGAGAGAAAATTCCGAGCATTGCAGCAGTTCAACTACAGAGTTAAGATTCAAGGAATTTCAATCCACAACAGGGGTTTCCCAAATAAAGTATCGATCGTTAGGCTTGTAAAACACTTGTATGAATGCGAATTCCATTTCCTGATGTATAGCACTAATATTATCTTATACTATAGTGGAATGCCAGTGTTGAATTAAAGTGGTCATATTTCCTCTGAACATTTTAGACTCTTCCATGAGAAAATCTAGTGGGTGAAGACTATGCCTAATGTGTCGCATGCTTTTTTATTTCATGTAAATAATGTTAAGGAATATTATTCAAACATTGAATACAATTGAGCCAACACATTGATAAAAGGAGTATTATTTTCTCTAGGAGTGTCCGCTTTAAACAAACGTGTCTAATGTCTAATGTCTATGTATATGTCCATTGTCAATTGTCTTTTTTTTTCGTATATAATTTTTATGTTATATATTTATATATGATATATGTCATTATATTTAATTCATTTATAAATATAAATTAAATATATTATTATTCCACGTATATAAAATGCATATTCCTAAGAATATATAGTTGTAGTACATATATCTAACATTGTATATTTAAGCATTGTAAGTTTTCTAACTTTCTGACGCAGCCCTCTGATTGTGTTGGTCGGACCAATTTCCTAACACTGCGTAACCGTCGCCCCTTTATTACGCGCGAGTGTTTCACACTCCAATTTATCTCTTGCTGTTTCCAATTTTCTCACCGACAAATTTTTTATATAATATTTAAAAGGTTTTCTATAAGTTACAAGCAAATCGACTGAATTTTTGAGGCAGTGGTGGTCATCGTTCACAGTCATCTTTCTGTCTTTTTGTTATCATTTTTTTTATATTTCCTTTTATTTTTATTAGTTTTCAATTTTAGTTTTACTATAATTTAATATTAATGTTTTCTCTTAATCTTTTTTTCTAATAAAAAATATCATGTCTATCGATGTTTGTGGACTTTCGATGTAGATTTATTTATTGGTTTTTCTTTTTTGTCTGTATTTTAACATGTTTTCATGGATAAGATTGCTTTTTAAGGAAAATGGTCTTCTCCGTAATTTTTTTATCTTCTTCAAGTTTTTCTCCTCAATAGTGTGCTAGGAGCGGTTTGTGCGATCAATTTATATACGTCACTGTTTCATTTGTTTATATTTTTGCTTATCAAACTATTACTAGGCGACCATTGTAAGATTTTATGATAATACCGATTATGTTTATTCGATTTGTAATTAACAAAATGTTGTTGATACAATTTCTAATAAATGAACATTTTTCGTATTACTTTAAAAAAATATCATAGCCGGGGTTTTTTCTTTTTCGCGCGAGTACATGGTTAGAACTGAACAAAACCTCCAAGTCTCGCTAGATACGAGAAGGTGGTCCCACATTTAGAAGTTTCTAAAATTATCATTTTATGTTAAGTTTAATAACCAAATATCTGTTTATAATTTGATAACAATTTCTAAATATTTTTTAATTAGAAATTTTCGATTTTTTTATAAAATTCTAAGTTTTTAACTATTTTAACATTTCAAATTATTTTTCATAAGTTTTAATGATTTTTATTTTAAGTTTTAAAAATTAATATTATAGCAAATTATGTAATATTTTGAATTTAATTGGAAAAATTAAGGTCGGAGAGTGTTATTTAAAAAATGGATTAGAAAATAATTATTTTAATAAATATTATTAGCCACTAAACTTTAGGTCATATCTCGTTTTAGTCATTAAATTATAAACAAATTCGATTTTAACATCAAACTTTTTTGAAATAGTTTTTTCTATAACTATGTCTTTAATCAATTAATGGGTGATGACTTTGATATTATCTTCTATTTCTTTTGTTAAAACCCCAAGTTATTTTTATCATTTGTTCATATTCATAACAGTATTATTATTAAAATGTTTATATTTTTCTTTTTGTTTCTTCTTCTTTATTTTATTTGTACGAAATCCATTAAATATCGATGAAAATTTATTTAAAACTTTAACATTTTAATGCTCTGATCTCCTCTGATAATCATCCGATGAGAAGTTGTTCATCTTCTCATAAGAATGCTTCTCGCGCTTTAGATTTCTAATAATACACCCCGATACTCTCAAATCTAACAATGAGATCACTATATTTATCGATTGTAACAATCATGTCACTTTGTTGTTAAGTATATAACACATAATAACTTCTTAGTTATATTTAAGTGACTTAATTATTATAATTGATAAAAATAACTACATTTAATTAAAAAATTAACATATGTTACACACTTGATGACAACATAATCTTATTGTTACAATCAATAATTAGAGTGGCCAGATTATAACTTTTTAAGATACAATAATTGAATTGTAAACTTATTCATAATAGAACAACATTGGTGTAATAAAACCAAAAAGAAAAAAGAAACGAGATAAACGCGGGTCACAGCCAGAAACTCGAGCAAAATCGCGCGACTCACTCCCCTTTATAAATCTTTTCACCATCTTTCTAGTTTTCAATTAGACTTTCGATGATCGGCAACAAGAAACAGAAAATCGCACGTTTGGGCAGGAAAATGGAGCGTTTCATAGAAAATCGTCGAAAGCTCGGAACTTTTTTTCTCTATATATATATTTACAGACCCATCTTTCCTCTACCAAACATAAAAAGCTCGATACTTCATCGATGGCGGCAATAGTCTTCAAGCGTCTAAAGAAGACTGATATCGAGAAACGAATGACCCTCCCGAGCAAGTCCTCAAGTGTTTCCCTCCTTTAAGCGGCGATGAGCATATGGTGGATTTTCATGTGAGAGACGAGTGCGGCCGTGTTTGGAAGTTCCGGATTTACACTCGTAAAAACAACAGAAAGTACCCGAAGCCGGTTCTTACCAAGGGATGGCGAGAGTTCGTCTGCAGCAAACAGCTCGGAATCGATGACAGAGTTGCGTTCTACATGGATAAAGAGGAAGCCGACTGTGTTAAGTTTCGTGTCAAAGTATATAAAGCTGTTAGAGTATTTGGTGTCGTTTTGGACATGAACCATTTCGCTGCTAGCGTATTTTGTATCTGTTTTGTGCAAGCAATATGATGATCAAAGCCCCTACTGAGTTTAGTTTCAACTACTTGTGTAGGATCTCATGTAATTCTGGGTAAATATGCATCGTAAATACACCGAGTAGCAATATATGTTAACTTCTGATTTCTTAGCGTTTCATAGTTTAAGATAGTGTCACATATCACTTCTCATCTCTCTTCTCTTGATACTTTTATCATGAGTCATCATTCATGTTTATCCATTTTATATGCTCTATCAATCGTGACGTTCAGCTTAAAATCATAAGATTAAAATGTTGTTTTAATACCACTTGTCAGACGACTGTTATCCTCTTTTCATAGTTAATCTCGATATAGGGTTAATGTCTTCTATTTCTTTAAAATATGACAATGACATTTAGATTTAGTTCATGCATCTTCTACTTGTACTGTTAGATGGCTTCCATATCAAAATATGTTCTTCCTTGTTACTTCCTCTGAAATCAAATCTTAATGCCTTTAATCATTATCGGCAAGAAGAAACATGAATTCAAGTAAGTTTCGCATCTTTATTCATCGAATCTTCCATAACAACTCGTTGCATATCTAAATAATGTTGTTTTTGTGGAATATTGTGGTTAAATCGTTGTAGAAGATCAGTCAACATTAAGGTAAAAAAAAAAAGCAACACTTTCCCTTTATCTTTCTCTCTTCTTCATATTTAAATTAGAGATGATAACAGGTTAATTTTTTGATTAATTCGATTCAATAAATATACACCCTTCGTCCAATTTTTTGAGTATATTTTTTACACTCGATTTCGACCCAACCTGATTTTTCAGGATAAAAGCTCATATTTGATTTGATCCGACATAAATATATATATCATTTTTTATTCGATAAAATATGGATCTAGACAAATAACTATAGAGATGGGATATTATAGTTATTATCTCTAAATTTATAGAAGAAAATTATATTATTTCAGAATTAAATCAAGTCAGAGATTTTTCACCTTAAACTTGAACTCGACTCAATCCGACCTCACTAGTTATAAAATCTGACTCAACCCGAATCAAGCTCAATTTTTTATATAAAAAGATAACTTTATCGAGTCGGATCGAATTAGAATCTATCAATTTTGAATTATAATTCCTAATTTGAACGATTAATAATTGGGGGTTGCTTTCTCTGTCGAACGCACGATATGGCGGGTTCGCTGTCGGCAACCATCGCACGACTACATTGCTAGAACCGAGCAAAATACCTCCGACTCTCGCTGGACACAGCACAAGGTTGGTCCCACGTTTGGAAGTTTCTAAACCCATAGCTTTGAGATCATCAAAACTATGGAAGGTAAAATCATCTCATACGGGTCGGTACCGGTAGAATGTTTACATAAGGGTTAGTGGAGATGATGGTGAAACTCTCGACTAATTCAAAAAAAAAATATTTGAATCAATTGGGTCCTTATTCATAATAAATCTCATATAAGCATAACATGCTCTAACCTATGACGTATTCGCAAATGTTATAAAACTTACGACATTAAGAAATGGACTTTTTGAAAA